TTCATCCACTTGGGGACGTCGGGTATTGGGTTCATGGGGAGGGGCGTCGTGGTGAGGAGACGTGTCGTCGTGGGTGGGGACTCCCGTCGTCGTTGGCGTCGTCGTGTTTGGAAGCGTCGTGGGGGGAGGCTTCGGGTCGCCCGTCGGTCGGGCAGGTCAATGTCTCGTCTGGGAGGTCGTCGAGGGAACCGTTGCGGGAGCCCTCGAGGTCGTCACGGCTGTGCTCGTCGTCGCTGGGAAGGGTGACTTGGGGGCAGGGTGGGGCAGGGTCGTCGTCCTCGTCCTCGTATCTCCCGGAGTCATATTGTTCGTGTCGGCGGCTATCGCAGGAGAGGGCGCCAGCTTCGTCGTCGTCGTTGTCGTCGAGGTGGTCCTCGTCGTCGTTGTCGCAATCGGCGTCGTCGCCTTCCCCGTCGTCGGTTGCGCAGTCGGGTCGGAGGCGTTGTGGGCCGCCAGGCCGGGCGCAGGATTGGCCGTCGGGCCTGGCGTCCGTCTGGTTGTCGCGGAGCCTGTCGGCTTGACCAGTGGGTCGGCCGTCGGTTGCGCCATCGGGACGCGTCTGGTCGGCGGATCGGTGGTCGGGGGTGGCGTCTAGGTATCTGGCTGTCTGCGCGGGCACCGCTGGCCACGTAACCGAGACAGTCCCAAATCAGTCGGGCGCGGGGTGGCCGCCGGCCGGGCGCGTCGCGGTGAGGAGGCGAATCGTCGCGGGGGGGGGGGGCGTCGAGCCGATGGCGTTGTCGTGTTTGGCGGCGTCGCGGGGGGAGGCTCGTCGCGGGGGGAGGATTCGAGTCGTCCGTCGGGCGCGGGGTCGAGGGCACCTAAAGGGCGCGGGAGCCCTTGGGCGAGTCGGAGGGTCGCGGGGGTCGCCGGGGTCGCGGGGGGGGCCGCGGAGGCTGCCCCTCGGAACCCGTCGGGTCGTCCTTCCGCCCCGCGGCCCGGGAAGTGTCCGGCGCTTGCGCCGTCGGCGGCCGCCGCCGCTGGACAGGGGCCGCCCTCCGAGCCCGCCGCCGCCGGAGCGGGGGCGGCAAGCGTCGGCGCCTGAGTCTGCGGCGGCGGCTGCCCTTTCGCCGCTCCCCTGGGCATGCCCTTCGCGGGCCCCCCCTCCGGGCGCGCGGCCCCTCGGAGCGCTGGCGCCCGCTGGCGGGCAGCCATCGGCGACCGTCGGCCAGCAGTCGGTCCACATGGCCGCCTTCCCCGGGCACGCTCCCAACAGGGCACGCGGCCACTCGGGGCACGGCCGTCGCGGAGGCCGTTGGGCGGGGGGGTCGCGGGGCGGGTGGTCGCGGGGAGCCGTTGGGTCGAGCGGGGGGGCCGTGGAGGCCGTCGTCGGAGCAGGCGAGAGCGCCAGGGCCGCTGCGTCGCGCGGCGGCAGTCTCCGGGGCCGGCTCGCGCCGGGGCAGGCCACGGCTGGCGGGTGGATGGACCCCTTCGGCTGGGCCCCCGTCGCCGCCGTTGCCCAGCAGCCTGGTGGCAAGCCCGGAGGGGGGCGGCAAGCAGGCATAAACTCTGGGGCGTCCTCGTTGAGGCTGCCGTTGTCGGTCTGAGAAGCTGCGCCTGTGCAGTCGGTGGTGCTGGCGTTGGAATGGAAGGTGGTGCTGGTGTCAACGTCGGCGGCGGTTGCATTGGAGCAATTGGCCCACTGCCAGTTACTCCAGCAGATGGAGAACGGCCCGTCATACCGTTCAAGATTCCAGATATGCCGTTGGCGTCCCTGTCGGCGATGCCCATGCTCCTCCTGCCGGTCGCCTCGTAGGGCGTGGGAAGGATGGCGAGGTCCATGGCGGTGGCGGTCGCAGGCGAGGCGGCGCCTCGCCGCCTGCTCTGCGGGTCCCGCAGGTAGAGCTCGACGTGTCGGTTGGCTCGTAGCATCTTGTGCCGACGCAGCGCTTAGAGCTGGTGTGGCTCTTGTGGCTCTTCTTGGCCGTAGGCGGTGGCGTCGCAGGCGGTGGCGTGCGGGTGCTTCGCGGGCGCCGCAACGGCCATCGCGGGGCGCCGTCGCCGCGCCCGCCGCCGCCGCGGCGCGCGCTTGACGGGCCCGCTCCCTGGGCGCGGGGGGGGTTATCCCCGCATGTGGCGACTTGGCGACTCTCCTCCTCCTCCTCCTCCCTCCTCCCTCCTCCTCCTCCTCCTCATCCTCCTCTCCTCCTCCTTCCTCCTCCTCTCCTCCTCTCCTCCTCCTCCTCTCTCCTCTCCCTCCCTCCCTCCCTCCCTCCCTCCCCTCCTCCCTCCCTCCCCTCCCTTCCTCCTCCCTCCCTCCCTCCCTCCCTCCCTGCGTGTCCTTGTCCTTATCCTTATCCTTATCCTTATTCTCATCCTTCTCCTCCTCCTCCTCCTCCTCCTCCTCCTCCTCGTCCTCCTCCATTCATTTTCCTTAGAAACAGCTCCTCCCTGTCGCACCCCGAGGCCGGTCGAAAGGGTGGGCCCGGCGTTTCGCCTGAGACTTCCTCACCATTTATGACCCTGATGCTTTTATACTGACAACAGTTTCACAAATGGAGGGCGGCTCGTTTTCAACTCTCGTTTCAAACATGGCTCTCGCCTTAAATCCACGCAGGTTCGTTCAAAAATGTCAGATTTTCACAGAGTAAGGGCGGGGTGATGTCCAAAAAATGTGGCTCTCGCCTTAACGCCACGCACATTATTTCTTTATACATTGCAGAGCTTTACACATTGAGGGCGGATCGTTTTCAAAATGTGGCTCTCGCCTTAACGCCACGCACATTCGTTATAACAAAGGATGTGTTTCACGGATTGAGGGCGTGTCGTTTTCGAAATGTGGTTCTCGCCTTAGCGCCGCGCACATTTTGATTCGAAAATTGGCGAGAGCTTCATGGATTAAGGGCGGCTCGTTTTCAAAATGTGGCTCTCGCCTTAGCACCGCTCGAATTCGTTATAAAAAAACCATTCGTTTCACGGATTGAGGGCGTGCCGTTTTCGAAATGTCGCTCTCGCCTCAGCGACGCGCACAGTCGTTTTCATTTGCAAAAGCTTCACAGTTTCTCATGGTTAACGTATAAGCAAGTATGTTTTGGAACGATTCTGGATTGTCAGGGCGCACCAGTTGCGTTGAGTCGCGGTGTTGAAATCCCAAGAACGGTGCTCTGGCACGAGTCAAGATCGCCAAGACGTAACAGTCAGGTAACTCGTGGCTTGGAGTCCTGGGAACAACATTTGGGCGAACTCCAAGATGTTCACACGGTTGCGCCCCAACGGAGCAATTTCCTCAATGGCAATCACCCCTTGTAGGGGCCTATGAAGAGGAATCTTGGAGGGAGGGTGTACTTCAACATCTCTGACGAGTCCTGGGTGTACACGGGTTCTCCTCCTACTCCTCCTCCTCCTCCTCCTCGTCCTCCTCCTCCTCATCATCATCAGCATCATCATCATCAGCAGCATAATAATCAGCATCAGCATCATCATCCTCATCCTCATCATCATCAGCAGCATCATCATCATGATCAGCAGCATCATCAGCAGCATCAGCATCGTCATCAGCATCAGCATCAGCATCGTCAGCATCATCATCACAATCAGCATCACCATCATCAGCATCATCATCAGCATCATCACCATCATCACCATCATCATCATCAGCATCATCATTAGCATCAGCATCATCATCAGCATCAGCATCATCAGCAGCATCATCATCATCGTCATCCTCATCATCATCACCACCACCATCATCAGCATCATCGTCACCACCACCACCATCAGTATCATCAGTATCATCATCAGCATCATCACCATGTTCATCGTCATCATCGTCGTCATCGTCATCACAATCGTCACCATCAGCGTCGTCGTCATCGTCGTCATCATTTGCATCAGCATCAGCATCAGCATCATCATCATCAGCAGCATCAACATCATCATCATCAGCATCATCATGATCAGCATCATCATCATCATCATCAGCAGCAGCAGCAGCATCAGCATCGTCATCATCATCATCATCACCATCAGCATCATCATCAGCAACTATCATCATCATCAGCATCATCAGCAGTATCAGCATCATCATCATCAACACCATCGTCATCCCGCCCCATGCAAAGGGGAGCACTGGGTCAACTGTCGTTTCTTGCTCACCTCTTCCTCCTTCCCCTCCTCCTTCACCCTCCCTGCTCGACCTCCCCTCGATCCCCATGGGCCTCGACACTAGAGGTTCGGGGGGAGTGGAGCGCGCCGGGGTCGAAGGCAGGAGAAGGAGCGGCAGCGGGCGAGGGCGTACGTAGGAGGTGGAGAGCCAGGGAAAATGGCTGCTGACCTCGACGATGTGGCTGAATCCATGCCTCACTCAAGGTCGGGCATGTCCCCCTACAGGCGGATTGCGGACGAAAAATGAAAAATAGTCTCAAAAAAAACAATAATAGTCAAAAATAGTAGAAAAATCGTCTCAGACTTTTGGTTTACTATTGTTGAATATTCCTCCTGTAGAGGTGGACACGCCCGACTTCAGCCTGACTCGACGATGCGCCTCCCTCGGGCTGAACGCCGCTGCCGGCAGCGCACGGCCGAGGCAGCGCGCCTCGCGCGCCGTGCCCGTCGCACCGCAGACGAGCGCGCGCGGCGTCCGGGCCGCGGGGGCGCGGAGGCGCGGGGCACCCCCGCTGCAGGGCACCGCCCCGCAGGCTCGGTGCCGAGGAGGTGCACGGCGGCCATGCTGGCCGGGACCGTGCGCCGCCGGCGCTGCGCAGGCGCAGGGGTGCGCGAGAGGCCGGCCGCGCTTCGGCGGGGCCCGTCCCCCGGAGCAGCAGGAGCGCTCCCAGGGGGCTCTCCCGGGGGGGGCCCGCGGCGGGAAGAGAAAGCGCGCTGCGGGTGCGGCGTGGGGGCGCGCGGTGAGCCCACGGTGTGGCTGTCGTTCTCGCCGGGCGAGGTCCCGCCGAGGCCCGATGTGGGCTTCGAGGGTGGCATGTGCGCTGACGTACGAGGTGGCGACGGCGACGACGACGGCGGCGGCGGCGGCGGCGCGAGCAGCGAAGGCGCGGGAATGCCTGCCGCGCCGCGGCGTCGATGACCGCGGAATATAAGAACGCGTCCCTCTCGACTCCCGCCTCGCACGCCTCCAGGGATCGTCGTCGTCGTCGTCGTCGTCGTCGTCGTCGTCGTCGTCGTCGTCGTCGTCGTCGTCGTCGTCGTCGTCGTCGTCGTCGTCGTCGTCGTCGTCGTCGTCGTCTCGTCGTCGTCGTCGTCGTCGTCGTCAGACGGATGAGGAGGAGAAGGAGGAGGAGGGAGCAGGGAGGAGGGAGGGAGAAGAAGGAGGGGGAGAAGCAGGGGGAGGAGGGAAGAGGAGGAGGAGGAGGAGGAGGAGGAGGGGAAGCAGGAGGAGGAGGAGAACGAGGGAGGAAGGGAGGAGGGAGGAGGAGGGAGGGAGGAGGGAGGAGGGAGGAGGGAGGACCAGCACTCGACTTCGGGGAGGAGGGGGTCTGGGTACTCGGCGCGCCCACGCCGAGCAGTATGCTGCCGAATGTGAACTCTGCTCGGCCGTCGAGGGGCCGATCACCAGACCCATTGTAGGAGTGGCGGCCACTGCAACCTAAGGACTGCTGTGGCGGGCGGCCAGCGCTCTTACAGATTGGCGATACACTTGATCAAGAGGCACAAGGGGGTCGAAAAACAACCTCTGCAAATTGGAAGCGCTGGAGTCTGAGGGCCCTGGCAATCTGAGTACTACCATTGTTACTCTGGGGTTCCTTTGGGCATTCAGAGAAAAGGCGGCCTCGGGAACCTGTCTGTGTAGGAGCCACACTTGCTGCACAAAATCGGGGTACTCGAATGGGTAAGGTACAAAACGAAGCCAGGACGAGGATAAGGTCGGGTGGGGATAGAAATCGAGAATCTCTGACAGCTGGCTGCTATGGAGGATGTACCAAGCACCGCAGCCTTCCCAAAACGCTCTGAGAGCGTTTCGGAACGCTCTGCAACGGATCAATCCTCGTCCTAGCCCCGCCCGAAACTCCTTCCTCCTCCTCCTCCTCCTTCTCCTCCTCCTTCTCCTCCTCCATCCTTGTCGTTGGTTTTGGCTCATAACTCGGGTCTGCGTCGGCTGCTGGGGACAATCCGGGCAGCCCCGGAACGCCTTCGGCGAGGCGCAGCTGCTGGAGACCGAGGCGAGACAACCTTCAAGAACCATCGATCAACTCTAAAAACTTCCTCCCCTCCTTCTCCTCCTCCTCCTCCTCCTCCTCCTCCTCCTCCACCTCCTCCTCCTCCTCCTCCTCCCCCCTCCTTCTCCAGAGCACGAGGACGGCCTCGTCGAACCACCGCTTCGCCGCCTGCGCGGGCGACGGGGGCCAGACCAGCGGGGCGGCGGAGAGCAGAGCAGGGCGGCTGGAGGAGGCGTGCCGAGGGGAGGCACTGGACAATGGGGAGGAGGAGGAGGAGGAGGAGGAGGAGGAGGAGGAGGAGGAGGAGGAAGAGGAGGAAGATGATTATGATGAGGAGGAGGGAGGGGAGGAGGAGGAGGAGGAGGAGGAGGAGGAGGAGGAGAAGGAGGAGGAGGAGGAGGAGGAGGAGGAGGATGAGGAGGAGGAGGAGGAAGGGGGGGGCCTGAGGGTGGCTTTCCGAGGGAGCCTGGTTTCGGGAAAGGGGCCTCGGGTGAGGGGCGCACGCACCCTGCAGCTGTGCCCCGTGGTCGGAAGGGGCGTGTCGAAACATGAAGCAGGAGGGCGTCGAAAGCGGATTGGGTTGGCCCGCCCCCCCCAAAAAAAAATAGAAAGAAAAGGGAAGACAACTCAATGAAGGGACACTACACACACAAGAATTCCTTCTTTCGACGACCGATGGGTAACCCCCGTCGCCGCACCGCTGGACTCCTGTGCTCGGGAGGCGGGCTTCACGCACCGTGGCGACTCCACGGCCACGGGCTGCTGGGGCGGACGGAAGGGAGGGGGGTAGGTGCGGCAGGGTCGCGTGGATCGTTCAACCTTGAACGATCGGCGGCTTTTCGATCGCCCGATCAGTCCATAGAGGCCGATTCTGGACCACTGGCGGCGTTCAATCTTGAACGCCCGCGGCGGGGTCGCCACTGGGCGACACGGCGCGAACCTACCGTAAAGGGATGCTCGCGAATCGGCTGCGCGCAGCGGGCTTTTACCCAGCGCCTCCCAGCGCTAGGCAGCGACAGCGCATCGAGGAGAGGGTCTCTCGCGGCGGGGCCGAAGCTGGCTGCAAGCTGCAATGTCCATTACCCTCCCTCCTCTGTCGCCCAAGCCGAGAACCAACGGCCTGGCGGCCGCGCCGTCCAGCGGGTCGGCAGTGGTTCGGGGTGAGCGGGCCGATTCGGCGCCTGGGCCGCTACCTGAGGATGTCTCGAACACTGGGGCATGCAAGGGGAAACTGCCACGGCGATCTCGGGGCAAGTGTTTTTCTTTCGAGGGGGGAGGGGGGGGAACACGGAGCGGATCACGGGGCTCTCGGAGCAGAGGGGTCGGGGGCGCCAAACGAGCGCCTAGCTTGTGAATTCCCCACAGTCTGGGAACGAGCGGGCAAGTGCAAAACCCCCTGGCGGTTTCCCCATTGGGGCTCCCAGATGCGATGCCTCCTACATCACGGTGACCACTGGGCTCTCAGAGCAGAGGGGCCTCCGGCGCCAAATCAGCGCCTCATCTCCACAGTTTGGGCGCGAACGGGCAAGCATTACACCCCCTGGCGGCTCCTTTCCGGATGCCCAGACGCCATGCCTGCTACATCGCGGTGGTGGCGCCAAGAGAGAAGCGCCTCGCTCGAGACATCCCCACGGAGGAGGAGGAGGAGGAGGAGAAGAGGAGGTGGAGGACTTAGAATGTAAAGCGGTAAGGAGGACAGGTTCCTTTGTTTCGGATATTGCACATTTAGTGTTGATGTAGTGAGTTGGTCTGGCTCTCGTGGGCCCGCCCCCACGATGGGGGTTCCCAGACGACATGTTTGATATCACCCCCGTAGGTGGCCCACACATGTAAAAAAACGCATGGTTCCAGCTCGGGGCCACCGTGTTAGATGCCCCTTTGGGTGGCCTGGACATATGGAAACACGTGGTTCCAGCTCGGGGCCACCATGTTAGATACCCATATGGGTGGCCTGGACACCTGAAAACACGCGGTTCCAGCTCGGGCCCACCATGCTATGTACATGTCAGGGTGGCCTGGATACACGAAAGCACGTGGTTCCAGCGAGGGGCAAGAGGCAGCCATCTTAGATACCCACCCCCCTGGCGGCCTGGACACATTCAAACACCTGCTTCCATCTCGGGACCACCTTGTTAGATGGAACAAAGCTGGAACCACGTTTTCGCATGTGTCCAGGCCACCCATGTGAATGGTGCATATCTAATATGGTGGCCCCGAGCTGGAACCACGTTGGTCACGTGTCCAGGCCACCCAGAAAAAATATGACATGGTAGCCCCGAGCTGGAACCGCGTGTTTTCAAGTGTCCAGGGTATCTAACATGGTGGCCCCGAGCTGGAATCACGTGTTTTCACATGTCCAGGCCAACCAGGGAACATGGTGGCCCCGAGCTGGAGCCATGTGTTTTCACGTGTCCAGGTCACCCTAGGGAATATCTGGCATGGTGGCCCCGAGCTGGAACCACTTGTTATTCCGTGCCCAGGCCGCCCAGGGGTGGGTATCGAAGAAGGGTTCCTCTTGCCCCTTGCTGGAACCACGTGTTTCACGCGTCCAAGCCACCCCGAAACGTATCCAACATGGTGGCCGAAGCATGAACCATGTGTTGCCACTTGCCCAGGTCACCCTGAGAGGTACCTAAGATGGAGGCACCAGCTGGCACCACGTGTTTTCACGTGCCCTGGCCACCCAGAGGGGTATCTAGAACGGCTGCCCCGAGCTGGAACCATGTGTGTTTACATGTGTGGGCCACCCAAGAGGGGTATCTTACATGTGGTCGCCTGGGCACCCCCAGCGTGGGGGCCACAAGAGCCCGACTAAATACATAAATCGGCAACAATTGCGCAATGACCTGACAGTCTTCGGCTGGTGAGCTTCTAGATTTCCCACTGGGGTACCTTACATGGTGGTCCAGGACTGGAACCACGTGTTTTCACGTGTGCAGGCCACCCAAATGGATATCGAATCATGGTCCCGAGATGGAAAGCGGTCGCGGTTGTCGCCGTCCGCCGTCGTTGTCGTCGTTGGCGTTTCGGCCTGCCCCTTCTCGATGCATGTCGCCTCGAATTGGACTCGCCCATTCCAGTTCGCGCTGTTGCGGAACATAACTCTTACATAAAGGCACGACTGCAATCAGCTCAGGGCGAGCATGCCTCCAATTACGATCACGTTTACGACGCGGCAGGTCAAGTCTGAGTACTCTGCACATGGGCCAGGACGGCCAAGTCCTACACCCACGTAAAATGCAAAATAGTATGAAGATCGAGATGAACTCAGTCTTGACGAAGTTGGTTTACGCGAAGCTAAAAGAGTCTACGAAAGAGTAGACCTCGAAGTGCCGGCACACCGTGAAGATGCTGTCCAAGCCAATCGCTGAATTCCTGGTCGTGCGTCACCAGGCACTGGTAGCCGATGACGAACGCCGGGCGGCGAGGTAGTCGCCGAAGGACATGCAGGAGAAGAACTACGCCAAGAAGGGGAACGAGAGGGACGTCGGCCGGGGGACGCCAACGGCTCCGAGGGTGCATGGTGAAGCCCCAGAGACCCCGCGGACGCCGACTCTGTAGTGGTAGTGCGAACCTAGGCCTCTGGCTCCACGATGAAAGAGCCAACCGGGGAAAGGATTATCCACCAG